TACATACCATGGCACAATGAATAGGTAGTCCATTTAGCGCAGCTGATGTCTTAATTAACCGTCAAAGTGTGTAATTTCTACTTGAAAATTTGACAGATAATCGAGATAAAAAAAAAGTATTTTTTTATTATTATTTTTTGTAGAAAAATATTTGTTGGAAAGGAAACAAAATTATTAGAATTGAAATGTTCCTGTAATGTTGAGATCAACTACTGAATATACAACTACTAAATAAAAAAAAAAAAACAAAAAAAAACATGTGAAAACTGTTTCAAATATTGGTTCATTGGGAAATATTTCTTCGTACAAAAACAGTGTTAGATCGCATTAGTGTTATGGTTTTGTTCATGATATAAAATAAATCCTGCCGCAAAATGATTCAAATTTATAGAATACATCATGGTAAATTCTGTATGAAACCATACCCTGATTGGTATTAATCATGATCAAATGTTAAATGTAAACCTGCATTTAGGACTCTAAAAAAACACAAAACATTAAATCTAGTGTAATGTCCACAAAAACATATAAGGATAAAAAGGGATCTCTTACTTTACCTCAAAAAACTTTTATTGCCATTTCAAAAACATTTGAATTTTAATAATGCATTTTAAATCTCTAATATAAATATTTGTACGTTTATTATTTGGTTTCATTATTCCAAAGGGAATGTTGTTGCTTACACATATTTCGCTGTCACTTATATGGTTTTCTATGTCAATGTCACGGTTATACAGTGAGCAGGGCACTAGTCAGTGGGTCCAATAAACTAAAAATACCATACCAACAACAAATGAATTTACAATTCAAATTATTTATGTTTTTGTCGTTTTTTGTTTATATTCCTCTTATTCGTTTGGTTAGTGAATATGACTAGCAATAAAAAAAAACAAATAATACAAATAAAATTGTGTTGTTGCCATGACAGATGGATGGGTTGCCATTCTATGATGGGAATATACCTATTAACCCATGTACTGTGACGTAATAATAAATTGATCGATGAATTTATAGTTGAGACTAAAAACTTTTGCTTTTATTGCTTTTTAAATGCTATTATTAAGATATAATCATGTGTTGCCCTAATTCAAGGCTATGTAATTAATATAAATTATTTTTTTCACAAAAAATAAAAGTAATTTTAATAAAACATATTGCCAAACTGACGTAAATGGGTAAACATTAAATAATCTGTATTGCTAATTGGAAAATGTGACAATTAAAACCAATTGGGATTCATTAATTAGTTTCAAATTACTATCTGCATATATTGATACATATGTATGTAAATCCATATATGGAACATTTACATGCTAATTATATAGGTAAATAGTTAATCCCTGATATTATGAAATTATAATTAAAAGATAGATAAATAAAACAAACACCGACAGACACACACGTTCGTGAACACCAACACCAATGACAGCTAACATTTCATTTTAATAATTGCTAATTTGCTATTAACTGAACTAATTTGAGGTGGGTCATGATCCGACACACAGTATGTGTGTATGGTTTATATTATTTATATCCACATTGTTATAAACTAATTCCACAACACAACAACTGAATGAGAAAACAAAAAACGTGTGAAATTTTTACCCCCATACTTTTTAAAAATTATTAGCAACAATGAAATCAAAACAAAACATTTTGTAGCGTTTATTTTTGTGGTTGTTGTTGTTTTTGATTTTTTTAATTGTCCATGGGAAAATCTAGACAAGAATAAAACAATAGATAGAATATGTATATACAAACATATACATTGCAAATAATTACACTTTGTAAGCACTTTCAGTTACCCCGTCATTATCGGGCTCCATGACAGACCGAGCGACAGGCGGTCAGATAGATATATCACATTCATAGAAGTGGTACTTGAAAACTCAAATAGTAGCACCACTGCCAGCACCTGTTAACAGAGATTTTCGTATTAATGTCAAATTCTGAATTGAATAAACAAAATACTACATGATGGCAATTGAACAACAAATCAACCTATTGTAAACTCTCTGTCATTGAAGCCTAATCACCGTCAAACTATCTATCACTTTCATTTTCAAAACAATTTTTTCGATTTGTTTTCATTTGATTTTCAATTGTTTTGCCGGTTTCGAATAGAGTTTTACACGATATTACTAATCGCCTTCAATTAGTGAAAGAAAAAAACAAAACGTAAAGTTGTTAACTAGCAAATGACAAACAAGTCAGTCAGTCAGCTGCGGCCATAGGGCATCAGCGCGAATTGCCAACCTAGCCAAAAGGGGGGATTGACTTGAATTTGAATTTTCTGTCATGCAACAAGTGTCAAATTTTGTGTGTGATGCTAAACGAAACAATAGCCAATAGACAAATAAAAGGGGGGAATGTGGTATTTGAAAATTGATTTGTTTACATTGATCATTTTTTCTTTTTTGTTCATTTGAATATCAGTGAAATTATCTTTGGGGTGAATGACAGCTAATGAGGGAACCCCATGCCCGGCAAATGCATGCCTTGTGGTTGGAGCGTATTCGCGTGTGTGTGTGTGTGTTTTTGTGGCATGAAACGTTTAAATGCAAATTATCGTCGTTGATTGAATCAATGGATTTACATCTACTTATTATTTAATTAAAACCTCAAGGCATTTTAAGCCAGAGGTGGAGGGAACTAATCAATATCGTTGTAAATATGTAATTATTTTTGATTGACTTAAAGCAATGAGGTGTGCCGTGATTGGCCATTGATCATTTTAAAGATTTACGTAAATACTTGGAGGAATGGGGGCTTAATAAAATAAAGTTATGAAATTGCCTATGAAGATGAGTTTAAAATTGGTTAGACTTTTAAATAGAAGGGAGGGTAAAAATAAAGATGATTTCAGTTAAATTTCTATTTCAAAAATGTATTTTTGTTGGGCTTGATAATTTTAGTGGAAAAATAAATGAATACAGTGCAGATCAGCTGTTTCTTATGTTTACTGTCAAATTTCTCTATTGTGAATTGAACTTACCATATGGAAACGTAAACAACCAAAGGTGTTTTACACAATATGTTTTTATTTACATATGAAACTCGAACTTATCGTGTGAAACATACTCCAAATTTCAATGTGTCAAAATGATATGTAAGTACATATGTATTTTTTCAGAATAGGACTGGTTTCATTTTCATATGTGAAAAATAAGGAAATCAGCTGTTTGAAAGAAACACATTGTTGTAAGAAAATATTTGAATTGAAAGCCCCAAAAAAGGATGAAAAGGCAAAAGTGTTACAATTGTTAATTCGTTTATAGACGATTAATAAAAAATTATGTTAATTAAAAAAAATAAAGGTGTTTTTTATTTATAGGCTATGTCATATGAAAAATACATATGCAGGTTTGAACTCAAAAACAAAAAGTCGTAGGCTGCTAATTTTGATACACACGAGGTATTACATATGAATGTAACCTTAAAGGTCGGTCTGAATTCACCTCGATTTACCATGCCAGGTTAAATCCATTCATCTCGACATGTCGAAATTATTTTCGTAACCGAGATACAACTCTGTTTGCATTATAGCGCATTTACAAACACACGTTATATGATGTAGATTTACGAAACCCTAAAAATAAATTAGGATTATTTAAACTGGCTTTGAAATCATTTCAAGTGACACCCACACTTGTTTACAAAAAGAACTAAATTGTTACCGCGAATTTTAAAATAAAAAAAGATTTTAATTGAAATTTTATTTTATTGGAATTTGTTATTTATAATTTTTTTTATTTCTTCGAGTACGCATTTTTGGGTTTCTCTTTAATGAAAATCATCTGAAAGAGACAAAATCATTTCAGCCGCTCAGTGCTCATTTTATGGAGTTAAGCGATATAAGCAAAGTTGAGAATTTAAAATTTTTTAAATTAGTCAAGAACGCATGCTTCTATGTATTTGTCGCCTTAAGAAGAATTATTCTTATTAGAGTTAGGAAAATACTGACCAGCTGCGTAAAATTGGAACTTTATAGCATTTCAACACTAGTCTAAACAGCTAGGATTTCGTATATCAATTTAGGAATCGAATACATTTAGAAGGCATATTCTAAACACACCTCAAATCCAGATAATTTCAAAAGCAACCTTGCTGTGCATAACTTTTCCAAAATGTACCAAAATCTACTTCTTAAAATACTCCAAAATTCAATTAAAAGCTGAATAACAAAATATGGCAACAGCTGAAAATTTTGTCAAAATTAATTATGAATATTACTATAATATAAAACAACATATGTTTCTTTGCAATTTTTTACTTAATAAAGAAATATTCCTATTAGAATGTTCAAAATATAAATCGAAGAAATGTTACGAAAATTATGAAACCAGTGAAATATTTATATCAAGATCTATTAATAAGGTTCACACAGGTAGCGAACATCAGCTGTTATTTCTCAAGTCTAGTGTCAAAATTTTGGATTTTGTTTACATTTTTATAATGGAAGTCAATTCATAAATTTTTTATCTACAGCAATTTTGAGAGGCAGCTGATATCCAGCTGGTCCCCCTGGATGACCTTATTAATAGGCCTTGGTTTATGTATACATAAACAAATAACAGCTGACTGAGAACATTATACAATTTTAAATACTAGGATTTAATAAATTCAGTAGATTTAATTGTCAAATCCATTGCAACATTGTCTTGTAAAAATTTAAATTACCTGGTGTTTATGAACATTTTTTGGATAGACTGTAAACGTAAAGTAAGAAAATGAGACAGAAAAAACACAAAATTCTTTTAATTAGTATTTTTTATTATATTTATTTCTTATTATATTTATTTTTTATTAATTTATATTTTCATTTTGTTTTTTTTTAGCAAAACTTTTTGAGTTTTTTCCTAAAAACGCCTGGGACGTTTTAAATATATATAATTAATTTTTTGTTATATGATTTGCGTTTTTACACAACTTAACAAAAAAAGAAACGGAAAACAATATCACCACGGATTTTACTTATCAACGTGTTTCATCTAAATCGCCTCCATACAAAATGAGTGCCATCGACAGTGGAAAATATCGCCTGAAAAAAGATTGGGCCAGTGTCTCGATACCATCATTGGTCGATATCGATGAACACGCCGACGATGAAACCGAAAGCGGAATAAATATCACTGAACCATCATTGCCACCACAAAAGCCGCCACGTCGAAGTTCACTGGCATTGGGTTTGTTCTCCAGCAAATCAGATAAAAGCCAGAAAAGACGTAGCTCCATTGCGGTGTCTTTCTTTCGTCGTGATAGTAATAAGGTAATGGGTGAACATTTCAACACATTTTCATTGATTTTTTATTTTCATATTGTTTTTTTATTATTTATTATTTTTCGGTTCCTTTAGCATTCATCCAAAGATTCCTATGAATCGGCCGTAAAACATGAAAAAAGTGATGGCTCAAATACACCCATATCACCTGACATTGTTTACAGCTCCGAGGAGAATATTCGTGCCTCATCGCCAAATGAACCCGGCAAAGTGACCTATTTCGATGATGGCACCAATGTTCGCACCGCTGTCAAGGGTATTGGCATTACCAGTAGCCCGTACGATACACCCATCGACAAGGAACGCAATCGTCGTCGACGTAGTTCATTGCAAACAAAATTGGATAGACGTCGCCGCAAGAATTTCGAAGTCACCTTCCCCACTCTGGAACAGAGTACGGGAATTGGTTCGCAAAGTGATTTGACCAATGATAGTACCACAGGCATCGGCTCATCTTCGGGCGATATGTCGACCTATGACGATGTCGATCCCAATCATTCAGCCTATTTTCCAAGGCAAAAACGTCATTCATGGTGGAATATATTTGTGCCAGAGAATATTAAGAACAGGTGAATATTTTTTAGTTTTATTATTTTATTTTTTGGGGTTTTATGTTTAATTTTTTATTAACCCGGAATTTTGTGAAATAATGCCTCTAATATTACCCAATAAGAATGATAACAACAAAATAATTGTGTTATGCTAACTGAAGCAGTGAATGAATGAATTATTTAACATTTTTCGTTTGTTTCGTTTTTTTATGAATGAATTCAAGCGTATGATGAAGTAACACCTCTGAAATATTACTACGGGAATGTGAGAATCATTTACAACAGAGATATAAATCTCAATTGACTTGTAACGAATAAAATTTCAATAAAGCACTTGGAGACAGTGGGGATATTATTTCATTTTTTATTAGTTTCATTTACAAATTAACCTTTGATGAGAAGTCAAATCATCAAATTGATTTAGTATCGAAAGGATACGCCATAAAACGACATTTGCATTTACCGGGTTAGCCTACTTTATGAGGATTTATTTGACATGTATACAATGGATTTCGTTAACCACTGCGTTAACGAAATCCGCCACAATGTAAACGTACTATAAAATAAGTCTGTATCGTATAAGGTGATGTATCAAAACAAAATCCTTTGTTTTTGTCTCGATTATCTGTCAAATTTTTCCATATAATATTTCAAATGGTTGGCAACGCTGCACATCGAATTCAAGTAGAAATTACACATTTTGATATGTAATCAAGAAATCAGCTGCGCTAAATGGACTACCTATTCATTGTGCCATGTGGAGGAACTTGTCCGCCATACTATTATCTCTTCTAAGTAGTTCAAATATGCTGCGTATCGGTCGATTTCCCTTTATAAATTAGAAAAATTTACTTCTTTTTTTAGTACGGGAACAGATCATATATTCCATTACTATTAAATTTGTACAAATTGTTGGATATTGTTCGTTTACACAAAAGTCCAGAAAACGAAAGAATTGAGAGAACAGATTTGGTAGTTGTCATACTCTTTTTTTCGAAATTCTTATAAGGGAAATCTATCCATTATATAGCTTCCAGTAGCATCAGCCGATGTTTAATCAGCTGTTTTATGGCCAAATGGTTCAAAATGTAAAGAATACGACCAAGAATGTGATTATTATTATTAATAAGCAAAAAATAAACATTTAATCCAATTTTATTTTGACTTGTTCAACAAATTTAGTTTCCAAATTCAGGGTACTTCGCTTTATTTAGAAAATTAAACTGTTTTTCAAATTCCATATGCTTAAATTACTGCGATTGAGGTCTGCAACGTCTAGTTCTGTTCTACTTCTGCTCCGGCACGGCTGTCGGTTCTATAAATAATTCGAATCAAGCTTCGGTTCCCTACGGATTCTTCCAAAAATTAAAGGCTTCGGTCTCCTACGGATCTTTAACTTCACGGTCACTTACGCAAATTAAAACTTTTAAAACAAAGTCGTTTAAATAACAACTCAGAATGGTAACAGTATCAGATGTTCTTGTTGGGGAGTTGAGCTGTCAAAACTCAAGGCCTATAAATAAGGTCATCCAGGGAGACCAGTTGAATATCAGCTGCCTTTCAAGTTTTCTGTCAAAATCGATTACTGTGAATTCACTTACATTGTGAAAACGTAAACAAAAGCCAAATTTTTGACATTAGACTTGAGAAAAGACAGCTGACTTTCGCTATCTGGGAGATCTTTTTAATAGATCTTGATCTTACTTAATTGTTCAATTGTACCATTTTTAATAAATTTTTTGTTCATCCCTGATAGGAAAATAAAGGCAGTTTCATATAAAGTCATATGCATGGCACAATAAATAGGTAGTCCATTTAGAGCAGCTGATGACTTGATTAACTGTCAAAGTACGTAGTTTCTACTTCGACGTGCAATGTTGCCAACCATGTGAAATATTATATGAAAAAATTTGACAGATGGTCGAGACAAAAACAAATGTTTTTGTTTTGATACATAACCTATGTTCATTGGCGTATGTTCATTGTTTAACAGCTGATGGATTGAATTAAATGCTTTTACGATGATAGGACAACTTCCAACGCTTCTGTTAGCGAATCACTTTATCTGAAGTATGCACTTTACGAAAATAAGGAAACTATTTGTCGTATAATCTGTGAAATTGACAATCTAATTGACCAGATTTTTAAAAATAGTTTTAATAGTACGTTTGCATTGTACCAGATTTATTAAATCAAGTAGATTTAAATTGTCATATATGTCAAAAAATCTTCTTAGAGGAGATTGACGTGGAAAAAATGACGTTTAATGTAAATATAGACTTAATCTTTCTATTTCTAATAGGAATATTTCCCAAAATGCTTCAACATATTTTTGATAGAAAAAAAAAAAACACAAATTCCACAAGAATCACATCAAATATACAGAGATATCCGAAATTTTATGTTTTATTAATATTATATTATGTTTATACAGTATTTTTCGGTTAATTGCACATCAAAATTTGCACAAATTTTTGTTCAATTAACCGAGGAACCAATTATCCGAACCCGCTTAATTAAATAGTTTGTTCAATTACAGTAATCACGTATAATTGGAACTACTAATGATTTAAAAAAATCCAATGTCAAATACAAATTACGCTTTCTTGCAGTTTTTCCTGAGCAATAAACATAAGTTTTGAATTAGTAGAGATGCTACTTAGTCTTTTTCACAAATTATGTCAAATATGTATGTAAAAAATGGCAGATTATTTTTCAATTATTATTATGCAATTAACCGGTGAAAAGTAAAAGGAAATTTATTATTGATGACATGCATTTTGAACCAATTAAGCGGGAAAATCAATTAACAGGGTTTAATTATCCGGGAAAATTTACATGTATTTTCCTATGAAATATTTTTTGTCCCATCATGTGGTTCAATTAAGCGTAGAAACCAATTAACCGTAGGGTCAATTAACCGAAAAATACTGTATCATCATTTCGATTTCATAATTCTATATGACGATTTAATATCCATATGTGAATATTAAAGATTTCAAAATGTGAATCAGCTGATGTTTGTTTACGCGCACATTTGTAAACAACAGTATATCGTAAAGTGTATTTACAACGGGCTAAAACATGCATTTTAGGAAAAGGAGTTTTGATATCATAAACTCTTTTTTGTGATACTGAGATACTGATCTAAGTTGTGATTCTAGCATTACATGATTCTTAAAAATCAAATTGTAACACACAATATAAACACAGACATACATAATATCACACGTTCAATAACTCACATTCCCAGTAATTTTAACAGCACAGCAGATATCTACCTTTGTTTGAATACAATAATAACGGTTTATTTAACTTTTGTTCTTTTTTGGTTGGCCTTGTTTTTTAACTGTTATTAATTCTTGTCGTTAATAACGGTCAATAACCCACCTGTACATACTTATGTTTTGCTTTAAGATTTTATTTCAGCTCTTCTTGTTGTTGTTTTTTTTTTTCATTACTCATTTACAGACAGGTCACAGTCATTAATCTCATCTTTTGGGCGGCAAAAAAATGCTATTCCATCCTAAAGAAACGAAAATAAAATATTTACAATATTTTCAAAATGATACTCTCCTAACATGGCGTTTACACATATCTACTTCCGTCAGTTGTTTA